AAGTACCCGCACGAAGAAATGATCATATCATAGCCCACTTCGTGGAGGGATTGGGATACCGCACGACATGACCCAAAAGGTCATACATGTCGGTTGGTCCTATCTCTACAGGCCTAAAGTGACCCTAAGGTCTCTAATGGCTCACAGAAAAAAGAAAGAAAAAAAATAGTCAAAACAATAGCGAGCGTGTATTCTGTACCCAAACCAGTAAGGGGCCAAAAAATCTAGCGATGCCCACTTCGTGTGCGGACACACACACCGATGCCCAATGGCCACACAAGGTAGGTGGAGCTCACCTTACAGGCCTAAATGACCCTAATGGTCTCTAGGGTTCACAGAAGGGGGCCAAGCTTGAATCCATATAGGGCCAAAGCTTCGTTAGTGAAACTTACCCTAAGGCTGGCTACCCTAAACATACGGCTAGCAATACCTACATTAACAATTTGATGTTGCAGCTGTAAAGCGAATTCCGAATATAACTGAGATTTTGAGTCACTTAAGTCATGCAAGAAATTTAGCCGATACCTGAATGTGGCGCTGCCACTTAACAAAAGCTTATAGAGAAAATGATGTTCGATTTAGCTACCGATCATTTAAGCTCCACATGTCACCTCGCAGAAAAGTAACGAGAAATATATATAATAGCGTACCGATGCCGTTCAGAAAAGAAATGCAGAATAAATTATAACAAAGATTTTAACTTAACAGGAATTGAATATAGTAACAGGAATTCAATATTGCATTTATAGAGCGATGTGTACGTTAGTAAACACTTGAACAATAAAGAAAGAATTAGCCAACAAAGCTAGTAGTCGTGATCATAGCCAAACCAATCTAAGTTTGTGTTTAGTTTTGGATGGGCCAATGGTAGGAAGTTTAATTATAGTTGCTGTTCATGTGATTTTGTTGAAAGGACAAAAGAGGGATTTTAATTTAAGTTTAAATATGGTAACTTATGATTGATTTTAGAGATATTTATTTTTAGGGATTTGATTGAATTATTTTAATTGGTTAGTAAATTAGAAGACCTAAAGATGAATTTAGGGTGTAGCATTATTAATCAATTAAAGGGTTTAGATTAACTTCAATTTTGCTTATCAACTGGTTCGTGGCGTTGTGTCCACCCAAGGCTCGAGGAACCAGGCCCTCACTTCAGGCGACCACTTGCTCCCGCAGCCCCGGGAGTAGTCCATCCTAAAAACAGTTGATAAGTTATATTAAAGGTTTGTTGATTGATTTTAGTAGATTAGTTTCAAGGTCTGATGAAGTTTTAGTGTGAGATTAGTAGATTTGGTTTAGTAATGTGTTTTAGCTTATGGGAATTATGTCTAGTTCTATGGTTCACTCTCTCTAATTTAATCTACATTTTTTAGAAAGATTGCTATAGTGTGGTTAGAGATTGATAAGAAATTAGTACAAGGTTGATTTAAGAGATTGGTTAAAGCTCATTTAAGCTTCCATTTTTAGGTTAATTAGAGATCGATTCAGTAAATTAATGAGATTTGGGTTTAAATTGTATGTTTTAAGGCTTGGCATGTTAATAATTAAGTTTTTAGTATCATTCTAAGTTGTGGATATTCAGGACTTAATTATGTTGAAATAATTATTAAGGTAAATTAAGAACGAGATACTAAACCTAGAAAAGAAACGTGGATAAAACACTAAAGTCTGCACCAGTTTTGAGCCAATAACCCCTAATACAGAATGACGCATGATCCGCGTAAGTCGGCTCATTGTTACTCCTCAAAGAACTCAGTGTCCTAAATTTTGTCCTTACGGTGTCGCTAAGTGTTAATAGCAGAAACGAAGGAGATGCTTTTTCTAACCCTTCTAGACATTTACATACATGTACAGTGATAGGTTTAGTGATCATACAAAGTGAAACTAAGCACCATTAACGTGCAGCAGGGTAGTTAGAATGCAAAGACAAACAAAAACTACAGGAAATACGAAAGAGAGGAAGAAATGAAAGGACAAAATAATAAAGGAATGTGGCATTTTGTTATGGACATGATCTTGATAGCCAAGCATGTCCTCTGAAAACACCATTCACTCCTTATCCTCAATGCTAAAATGAACAGGAGAGAAGGGGTTTTAATGCCATTCAGTGTCCCCACGCTCGAGTAAAACACTCCGAGAAATACCCGGCCTCAACCAAAAAAATATTATTTCCTAATAAACCTCGGAACAACAAAGGAAAATCAAGCTCTTCCAAAACCAAAATCCTAAAACTAAAAATAATGCCCGTCTTCCCAACCACCATATTCATCCAAACTCGACTCTAGGAGCAAACACGAAGAGAAGAAAAACAAGCTCACTATAAATATCCACTTCGCTTCCAAAAAGATATAAAGAACTCTCCCACGTTTGAACACCATTATAAAATTTTCGAAGAAAGATCCAAAAACATTAAAAAGAAAACTATTAAATCAAACGACACATATATACGCTACACAAACAACCATCAAAAACACAAAACAATCGAGTGCTCTTGTACTCGGCGTGGGGTAAAGCCCAGAAAACCGCATAAAACATTCATAAAACATATTACAATATAGCACGTAAAGCCTTCCAACGAGAAGAAATACAAGAGGCACGATTCCCCGACATAAAACAAATCATAACATATTTCCAATAATCATCCAAAACAAACCCACTTTAAACTCATCTCATTCCGTCAAAAACTGAAAAGAAGCATTTCAAGCAAGTGAAGCAACTGTTCGTTTTCATTCATGCAAAGAGAAAATTTAGAATGTTCTTCTTTCCAATACAAACACATGATATGAGGTAACCCAAAAAAAAATGCCTGCAGGATCCATAATCATCAAATAACAAAAGAAATGAAGGAAAAGAATGCTTTGGAAGGAGACTACACCCATCTCTCCATTCTACACATAGCCATCAAACTGAAACTTCACATATTTCAGGAAAGGTATTCCACTTTCCATTCAAAATCACAAACTCATTTAATAGAAATTCTAACCTCCAAATTTCACCAAAGGTATAATGGCTATAAGAGGGGAAGGAGGGAACTCAATGTCAATTTAATCTCCCATAAAGGAATTAGGAAGCCTTAAGCACAAAACATAACTTCTCCATAATCAAAACATGCTTCAATCTAAGCAAAGTGCACATGTGATATTTCATCATAAGAATATAGGGTAGGTAAAAGAATCTTCCAACAAATTTTTACCTTCCATGCCACATGCCATCAAAAATTTCAAGAGGAGCTCCTAACCCAAATTCCTGAAATCATTCTCATACAGGACATACAATGCTTTGCCAAAATTCAAGGGAGTAATCCAATAAACTCAAAACTCCAACACACATGACAAAGTGTCACTTACAATTCAACCAAAGCCATCAAATTATTTGATATAAAACATCTCATAAAACTTTTCAATTATGAAGCAACTTAGAGAACCCTCCAACATAAAACAAACAAAGATCGCATCAAATCAAATTCGATTCCTAAATAAAACTTCTTACATGTAAAGCAATTCATGAAACTTTCCTACACAAGATCACCTATAAGACTCTCTAACCATTTCCCTAAAGATACCTTATGAAAGACTCACAAATAGCAACCACTTCTCTTTTCTTTCAAGATAGGCATATTCCCAATCAATTGTACTTCATATGGATGAAAGACAAAATAAGATTATGAAAATAGCCCTCAACGAGCATTAACACATACACCTTGCATGCATGTTTTTGCCAAAGAATAATATAATCTCTTATAGTCTTTCAAAATTTCTACAAAAAAAATCAGTTATTTATCACATGATTTGAACCATAAATAAGCACAAATTTCATATACGAGGAGTCCATTTCCAACCAATATAAATCAATGCATATTTTGTCTACGCCTTTATCCTTTCTTATTAAGTACTACCACCAACGCCTTGCATGCCTTTGTTAAAGAATACTATAATTTCTTGTATTCTATACATGAGTTCTAAACTACACAGAATAATACAACCCATCCATCAACATAATCTTCTGCAGATTTTCTTTACTAAGAACATAGCTTTAAACCATATAATTCATTCATGCTTTACAAACCTACCTAGTTTGATCTCCCAAGTGAGATATTTATGAAATAGAGAGTGCTTCATTTACAAGATGGCAAGGAATTATCTACAACAGAGAAGGATAAATCCTTCTCACATCATATCGAGTGAACAAGCTCATTACAAAAAGCCTCAATGCAAGACAATCTTTATAATTTTCATTTAGGATATTTCATCAAACACTTGGTGTGTGATGGTTACGGAATCACACAAAACAAACACCATGAAAGCCATGATTTATACACCTATTTGATGGAAGCCATTCAAGCAATATATAAAAGAACCTTCACAATCTACGACATCATATAGCTTGATCTTCATAATCAACAGCTTATAAAATAGGTGGTGTTTTATTCAAAAGAAATCCATAGGGAATTTACCATAGAAGCCAAATAAACAATGACTCCATCCTTCCTCGCAAGGGCTAAAACATTACTTGAGAATCAAGTACCGTGATAAAGTTAGATAATAGGAGGTGATGTCAGAGGCATCACCAAGTCTATGGTGACAAAAATTAAAGTCATTCCCACGAGTTTAAACATCAACCGCTCAAAGCCTTTTGAAACAAAGTTTCAGAAATAAATGAAGTCTTACTAAGGCATTTAATCGAGCAAGTGATATGCTATGTTGGCAAGGTTGTGCAAAACATATTAGCATGAAGAGTTCGATTCACACCTACTTGATCTAAACTCACATAGATAATCCACATAAAACCATCAATGATCATTGTAATAAATAACTCAACCACATGTGCACAAATCTGTAACAAAAGGAAGAAGAAAAAGACCCAGGCAATTCTCAGATTTTTGTAAAGAGATTCCATGAATTCTTTTTTTTATTCATTAATGAAGAGGAATAAGAAGGGAAGAAGAAAGAAGAAAGACAAAGGAAAAAAGAGAAAGAAAGAAGAAGAAGAAGGAGAAGAAGAAGGAGAAGAAGAAGGAGATATACCTGCTGTAGGAGAGAAAGCTTCGGTTAGGGCAAGAGGAGGTCGCGACCTGTGCCTGGGTTCGACTCCAGACGTCGAGCGAGGGTCGGCTGCAGTCGCGTGGGAGAGGGAGACGTCGGCTAGGAGCAGGAGTTCCGTCTGGGGCTCGGCTCTGGCGAAGGGGTCGGATGGGCTTCGGCCTTGGCTGGCCTCCGTGAGCAAGAGAGAAATAAGAGGGACGAGGGAGGTCATCAGCTAAGAATGGCGGGAGCAGATCCGTCGAAGAGGGTCGGCCTGGCTGGGGTCGCGCGAACAGAGAAGAGCGAGAGCGGGAGCGAGAGAGAGTTGGCCGCACGAGAGAAAAGAGAGGCGACTCGTTTCTCTGGGATCCCCCGAACTAAAGGGCGGCCTGGCGTGAAAAATGGATCCCTCGGCCTTAGTTAGGGCACGAAAGGGAGAGAGGGGAGATCGGAGCCGTCAAATCAATTTCTTGATCCAACGATGGGATTCAAATTGGCTTGGAAAGTTAATTAAGTTTTGATTAGGATTTAGTAAGACTCATTAGGCTGAAAGCAGGCTCAAATCAAACACAACTCGACTCAGTCCAGGCTAGCTTAGACTCGACTCAACTAGACCAAATTAAAGCAATAAAAATCAAAATCCAAATCAACGTTAATTCGAATTGAATCAAGCCCGACGAAGCCCGATCAACTCAACCAAGTGCACTCAAAACTAATCAGGACAAAAACGAGGTCAACAGCCCCTCCTACTTAACTTTCCCTAAAGCTTCATGAGGGGTAGAATTGGCAAAATGGTTTAAAGTTTACTTAAACGAATTTTGACAATTTTTAATTTTAATATCGTGCAAAATTAGATATATGTTATTTATACCATTTTGATCGAAATTTTGCGTAAAATTTTATAAAATTTATTGCGTCGAATTCTGATGACTTTGAAATTGTCTAATTTTATCGCGGTGCATCGAAATGCGTGCGGCACTAATGATCGATATATTTCAGGTTTTACACCCTCCACCTATATGCTTTGAGACCGGAAAACTTGATTTTAAAAGTGTTTAGGTGGGTCTAGCTGGTAGTCCTTTCTAGACATGATAATAAATTCAGGGGTCGGGCTGGCTATGCTTCATGTGAGACGTATTTTGTAAGTCCCTTTTCATTCTATTAGATTTAGGTTCGAGGCACTACCTCTCAGTAATCCTTGCCTTAGTTTTAGGATCTGAGATAATGGTTGATTCCAATAACCATACAAGTCCTCTCCTTTTGGGCAGTTCCTCCAACATATTTATTTGGAATGTATGTCCCAAACTTCTAATAAAAATGTCAACTTAAACAAAAGTTAGATTTTTAAAATGTAAAGCCCAACATAGGATAGTCCGAGCACCTCTGAGATTTCTCAGAATCAAGTGCTCCTACTTCATTTGACTCTCATTTCAAAATCTGATTCTAAGTTGATTCTTTCCCCCTTAGAATTCCTAAAGGCCAAAACCTTTAAATAAGACTTTCATGGATTCTAAAAATAAAATTTAGCCAATATTTAAATGATTTCAAAAAGAAAAGAAAATCACTAGTTTAATCAAAAGTTTTCTCAAGTACCAAAGCTTGAGATGCAATTAATCATAAGGGCTTGCCCCTATGGAAGATCTGTACCCCATAATAAATAATTCCCATTCGACCAAACATTGAATTTGGAAATCTCTGTTAAATTGTAAATTTTATTATTGAGTCCATAAAGAAATGATATTTTTCCCCTTCCGGATAATATATCATCATTCTTATGCCATACTCGATCATAAAGTATGCAATCATTTTGAGGACAACAAAAATTCTCCAACAATTGGCATCCTTAAGAACAACGTCGAAGGTGTCGGTTATCATTTATGTAACTATATAATACAGAATACTTCTTATTTGTCAGATCAATCTTTCTAATTTCATCATATGTTGTTGAATTCTAATATAATTAATAATTAAATATTCTTAAAGAGGAAGGAAACTATAAATTTACCTCAATAAATTTTTCTCCACTTCACTATTGAATCAAGGCTTGCTTCGCTTGGATTCTTCCTATCGACAATAATATTTTACTTCTTCAATTAGAGTAATGAAAATATAATTTTTTAAGTTGAACATAAATCGATAATTTAAGCACTTACTCTTTCCTCCAGAGTTAGGGAATGGAAGAAATTCAAAAAATTACAAATTCTTCTATCTTCCAAACTTTCTTCCTCTACGCTCAATTTAGATATCGACCTTTTCTTAGGTTTAAATCTTGGAAGAAATTGCCCAAAAAAATGAACAAACTTACCTTCCATCTCCTTTTTCCTCTCGGCACAGTTACTCTCGGCTGAAGCTTCTCACATTCATTTGCTTTCATTGGAGTGAGTGAATGAAGTTATTTCTCACGATTAGTCACTTCCTTTCACTCCCACATACGATTCCTTACTCGAATATGCAATCTAAACCCGCCGTCCCTTCTCGCGCCTGCGTTCTGTCCGCATGCTTCATTCGTTCAGCCCTCTTGTTCACTTGTTTGTTTGATAGGAGCCGATTCATTTACTGGTTCAAATAAACCGGCTGAACCAATTATTATAACCCCCCTCATTATAAAAATTTCATCCTTGAAATTTTTAAAAAATAAAAATAAATGGGTATACCTTCGTTGAATAGATATGAATATTGAGCTTTCATCTTTTATTCTTTCTCCTAAGTGGCATCTCTTTAAATTCCATGCTTCCATAAAATCTTTATAAATGGTTGCTCTCGATTTCTCAGTTGTTTCACATCATATTTCAATATTCTTTCAGGCTCTTCAACATATTTTAAATCAGGTTGTAGTTTAATGGATTTTGATAGAATTCTCTTTGACTCATATGATATATATTTGCGAAGCATAGATATATGAAAAACATTGTGCATTCATTGCATATGTAGTTGTAGATCCAATATGTACGCAATTGCAGTGCTGAGAAAAATATGTATTGGTAGATCCGTGCCGCTCCTAATCGGCACCGCAGCGCTACATGCTCGTTCCATTGTTTTTGTAGAACAGAGAGCATCAACACGACCACTTCAAATTTCAGCACCCTAGAGTCGCGACACTCAAAATCCCAATGCTGTAGCGCCACAGTTCATAAATTTTAGATTTATCAAATAAATCCATTTAAGGACTCTTTCTTGTTATAGTTCTTCCCTTTATACGACTTCAATCCAATGGATGAGATTGAGTCTTGCTGTCCCTAGAGTGTTGTAGGTGTGTAGGCAGCAAGAAGCATAATAAAAGCTGAAAAGAAGTGCAGCGAGCAGCTGTCCTTTCTCTCCTCCAGCCATTGATGCAGTTTCCTGAACATACTTGAATTTGCCACTTTTTTTTTTATTTGTCTTAAAACTACATATGTACCATATTTTTTACCTGATCTCTTCAACTTAAATTAACAATTTTTTTGTATGGCATAAAATATAATATCCGCTTCAACTGCTCTTTGCTCTCAAGTAGTTGCAGATGGCATTATTCAAGGGAGGGCAAACTTGGGCATGATGCTGATGACGCGTGATCTACAATGATTAGTTGCATATGGAAAATATTTTTTGAAGTTTGAGCTAAGGAACAGGGAAGTGAGTGTAGGGAGGCCACTCTCCTAAAAATATCTGTGCTAGATAAGGTTCCCAAACATTCACGCTTTAATGTAAAATACATGCTGATTAGATGTTAGCTTTTTTGAAACTTATTTTATGATTGTTTTTTTTTTATATATAAAGTCTATGAATGATTAAGAACTTAATATATCTTTATCATATATTCTATAACATAAATGCCTCTACGATGCAGATGTTCTTTTCTTCATTAAATGTATCTACACTTTTTTAAATTGATGCAACAAATAGACGAATGAGGGAACACATTTAGAAATCACTTGAGTTGGAAGGTGCAGTGATGTAGATTCCAATTTTTGTCTTTCCCTTTATTAGGTTTAGGGGACTGAAACTAGTGCCTCGATTGCCATAAATTATAGCCAGAAAGGAGAGAGGGGGGTGGGGGATGAGCTCCGTTGCTGTGGATATAAATATTTGTCAGAAAAAAATTGGGTTAGGAGCTCGTGACAGAAATTTGCACCAGAAACCCAAACAAATTTGCACAAGAGAAGGTCATTTGTCTAATAAATCAAAAACAACTGTTTTGTAGTCATGTTGTCTATTTGAGCGTGGCTTATAAATAAGTTACTACGTTTGATTACAGAAAATTGTCTTGCCGTTTCACAAGTAAAAAAGGAATTCTGTATTTAGCGTCTCTATTCGCTTACCTATAAGAGGAGTGGCACTGAAAAAATGTCTGACAATTTTGTACTTCATATTCATATTGCTAAAGAATACAAATCTCATTATAGGCAGGTTGTTATGGCTTTTTGGAGGAACACTTATAGTTGAGCTCTGCTATAATATGAACATCAGAAACTCTTTTTCAACTTGGTACACTGGCACATTAATTAACTGGTTTATTATGTTTTGGTTCCTTTATCACCTATTGGTTGTTCAAATAATGTTTCTTATTTTCTTTGATTTAATTGTTACTCGCTTCTCAATTTTCTTTTTAAAAATTTCTTTATAGATAAAGAACTTGTGGGAGATTGTACCTATGGTTGCTGGAGAGAGGTTTTTAAGCATGCTTCCATCATGGCATGCTTATGAGCGTGCTGCTGAGTACTTCGCATTTGCCTCGGGGGTTGAGCAGGTTTACACAAATATGGCAAAATTGAAGGTACTGAAAAACTTGGTTTTGTTTTCTTGTTTATCAGCTTAAACACCAAGGGGTTTTTATTTATTTGGAAACAAAGACTGAAAATATGTAGATGATTTTCATATTAAAAACGCATCTAGATCATTTAATCACTAGGAAAATGCATTGTGGTACTTGATGTTCCGCTGAATCTTTTTCAATGCACATGATATGTGAGATAGAAATGTGATCTCTTTCAGAGAGCTTAAATTATCTAGAATTTATGGCAGGGCGATTTGAAGCGGTATCAGCCCCAATACATAATTTCAGTTCCTCTGGTTTATGAAACAATCTACAGGTTAGTATTATCAATATTAGCTACAGATTTTGAATTGTCATCTGACTGGATTGTTGTTTACTTGCAGATTTCTAAAAAATAGCACTTATGCTTTATTCAACTTAGTGCTTGCTAGCATTGTTTTGTTTAATATTATGAATATGGTCCTTCTATAAATATTGACATGAGCACTTTCCTCCCTTGAGAAATTATTACCTATTCAACTTTATGATCCCTTCTAATCCTTCTTTTGTAGAAATTCCATCAGTATTGATTCGTATGCCTGCGCTGAGGAAAATCCTTGTTTACGAGAAAGTCTTTTACAATTTTACTTGTTTCCATTACATGATACCTTGCCGTAGTGATTAGTTTAATTTTTCCATGTGATTTGATATACTTCTTAGACTTTCATGATAGAAAGATCCTTGTTTACATTTGTTTGAATAAAATAAATTAAAATAATAATAATAAATAAATAAAGAGGGATGGGGCACGTCGGCACATCGCTAAAACTAAATGTGCACGTCGTTGATGGAACGACTCGTACAAGAGAATGAAAAAAATTAGAACTCACGCTCACTCGCACTGATTTCAATTTCAATCACGTTTGGCTTTTGACGCTCAATCTTGTTGACATGTTTTTTTGCATCAACCCGACCTCGATCCAGTCAGGCTCGATCGCACTTGACCAACTTGATCGAGCGTCGTTGAACAAAAATCAACCCAAACAAAGCCTCAATTTAATTAAATAAAGCTCAATTTAATTAAGTTAAAGTCAAATTAATCGGACCGACTTAAAATTGGTCCAAATCGAACCAAATCGGACCTCTTTGAACTAAATTTGATTCATTTCGACACCGATTCAAGCTTAATTTTGTGAAATTGACTTAGACAGGCCCAATCGAATTTGAGCCGACTCATATCGATTCGGACTCAACCCTAGCCCAATTGACCCAATCTAGATCCAATTAACCCCAAATAGGTTAAATTGACCTCTTGGTCCTTTCTCATAATTTGCCCAAATCGGGAATCCCCATCCAATGGCCAAGATTAAAAAATCGGCGGCTACAGTGTCAAATCCCTTACTTTTCCTCTAATTTGTGTGGCTACAATAATATATCACATGAAAGATCCACTTGAGAGAAAAAAAAGTCCCCATGTTTCGTGTATAGAGGGAGCAGGAGGCAAGAGAAGAGGTTATTCGACTGTTGCTTGTTGTGTGCATCCAGACCAAGCAGAAGAAAGCGACAGGGAAAGGGATTCGGGACTCCTTGAGGAAGCAGCCGATTGAGCCTTGTTGACCTCCGCAGACAAACCCAAAAGAACGAAAAATAATACTTGTAAACTGTTGGATTCACGAAACCTGCCGCAAATCCAGCTGAAATCGGCGCCGAACAATCGCATCCCGTGATTTCTGCTTGAAGCCCGCTCTCGATCTCTACCCGCTCGCGTCGTTAAATACCCGACCCAAACGAGGCTTTCGTTTGCGGCTTCCTTCTGTTCGATCCCACACACACGAACTCCTGCCCTCTCCCATTCGCTGCTCCCTCTTCTCTTCCATTTCACGATCAAAGCCTCTGACCGAGCTCAAGCCCAGTCCGATCCAAGCCATAGCCGG